TGCTGTCTCTTCCCACTTGGCTACATTCAGTTTTGGCATCACTGTCCTCATCAAGACTTTCCTGAGAGCTTGGCAGGATTTTTTGATAATCATATTGACTGTAGATTTTCCAAGTTGAAATTCAGAGAGGCCTCATGCAACCCGAGGCCTTTAATACTTTTATTTAAAAATGATATTTGAAAATGATATTAATGATTTTACGATGTTCTAGTCAATGCTCAAAAGACACATTGAAGTACTGGAAGAGAGATTGTGAAAACAAACGTTGCCAAATAAAAAAAAAAATCTAAAAGCAGTTTGCTGGAAATTACTGTTGAGGGTGTTGAGTGTCATTTTTATTTCTTTTTGTTATTTCTAAAAAAAAAAAAGCATGTTTCTTAATTTCTGGATACTGAAGTGATAAATGAGTGATGAAGACATTGAAAAGAGCCAAAGTCACTGTCTGCCATCAAAGTTTATCACAAACCACCTTCATAGAACTGTACCCCTTTTTCATTAGTTGCATTGTATTTACCCTGTTTATGGAAAAACAAAAAAAACAAACCTATTTATTCCTGTTTTTTGGAAAACAATAAACCTTTTTAGATTGTTTTTGAAAATATTAGACCTCTTGTAGACATGGCACCCTACTAGATAGGTGCCAGGTTAGGTAAATCTAGTTACTGGCTCACTGTAATCAGTTGAGCTGCATGTGATTATTTTGATCTGTTCTGTTTTTCATAGGCTGCAGGGTTGGCTGCTTCCCCTTGTCCAGTTGGATGATTCTAGAAGATACTGTAGTGGTCTGAGAGAGTCAAATCATCAGCTGAATATTTATGCATGCCTAGCCAATCCCTGGGGAGAAATGCCCAGAAGGTGGCTGGGAGATGCAGATGCTTTAAAGGGCAGAAGAGGGAATCAGGGGTCTAATAGACCCCTGATCTCTCCATAAAGAGCACCTGTTCCTGCCCAAGCTATCACATAGGATGTTGTTCAGTGTTGAATGAAAAATGTACAAAAACGCTCAACGCCAAACGTGCTTGTCTCAGTTCCAAAATTTGGTACATGAGCTTTTTTATGCCTGCTCTGTCTTTAACAATCTCACCTCTGTCCATGACCTTTTTTTCACAAACTCCTTTACCAACTTGCACTTACGGAAACCTGGCTTCATGAATCTGATTTTCTCTCTCCTGCTGCCCTTTCCCATAGTGGTCTCCTCTGGACTCACTCTCCCAGGCCTAGTGGATGGAAAGGAAGTGGAGTTGGAAACTTCCTATCCTCTCCAAAGCACTTTTCAGGTCCTTCATTCACCTCCCTCTCTTGATGACTTCTCTGCCTGGCTGCCTTAGTTTCTCTCTTCTGAAATTCCCACAATCATTCTCAGTGACATCAACATCCCTGTTAATATTAACACTTCTGCTACTTCTAAACGTCTGAGCCTAACCACTTCTTTTGACCTAAAACAATGGACACACGCTTCTACTCAATCTAATGGTAACTGCCTTGACCTTGTATTCTCCTACCTATGCATTCCTTGCAACCTCACCAACTTTCCTTTTCCTCTCTCTGATCACTCCCTTATTAGCTTCACTCTCTCCTTGGCTTGCTCCTCTTTGTCTTCCAACTACCAGTTACCCATAGAAACCTTCACTATCTTAACCCTTCTCTTCTTTTTCTAGAACAGATTATCTCTATGAAAAAATCTCAGCCCTGTCCTGCCCCAACTTGGCCACTTCTGAATTAGGCCCCGACCGCTACAGCCCTGGCAAACAGACAATACCAGATGCCTCAAAAAACGTAGCCGTGCTCTTGAGCGTTTATAGCTTAAGACTAAGACCCAGCAAGACTTCGACCAATATAGATCTGCCCTTCAAAAATACAATTCCTGTCTCCACACTGCCAAACAAACCTACTTCATCACTCTCATTAACACCCTCTCCTGCAGTCCCCGTCAACTCTTTTCTACCTTTAACTTTCTACCTCGTCCTTCATTACCTCCACCCACTAACTCACTCACTGCCCAGGAGATCGCTAATCACTTCAAAAATAAGATTGATACAATTTGTGACGAGATCTCCGCTGTACAGATATCTCCCTCAAGAGACACTCCTTGTCCACCTGCACAATCTATGCTTCCCTTGTTTGACCCAGCTACTATAGAGGAGGTTGGTAAGCTTTTTTCTAAAACCCACCTAACCACCTGCCCCCTGTTCCCTCGCAAATACTACGATCACCCTCTGGCTCTATCCTTCATTCTTTAACTCATATCTTCAATCCCTCCTTTTCTACTGGCATCTTCCCCAAATCCTTAAAGCATGCGCTAGTCGCCCCCCCCCATACTTAAAAAGGCCTCACTGGACCCCACCAATCTTAGCAACCTAAGACCCATCTCCTTACTCCCTTTTGCCTCCAAACTCCTTGAATGTCTAGTCTACAACCGGCTGTGCTCCCACCTCATTGAGAATAACCTTCTCAATCCCTTTCAGTCTGGGTTCACACTGATGCGGTACGGAATTCACATCGGTTTCTGTGCATTTTCCGCACCTCATCATAATCGCACCCCATTCATACGAACTGCTGCGGATGTGTATTTTAAAGACACCCCAAAATCAGTTCTTAAAACGCGTTGCGATGAACACCCATGTGATCCAATTCTGGTGTGGATAAAAAAAGGTCCTGCCCTTTTTTGATGCAGATGTGGTGCCATTTGAGCCATACAAAATGTATGGCTCAAATTGCATCACACAGAAATCGCATGTGATTTGCACAGGAATGCGGTGCGGTTCCTGTGCGAATCACATGCGATGTGCCACACCGCATCATGTGAACCCGGACTCTGGATTTTGCCCACAAAACTCCATAGAAACTGTTCTCCTAAAACTCACAAACGACTTACTAACAGTTAAAACTAATGGTAACTATTCCGAACTCTTACTCTTGGACCTCTCTGCTGCTTTTGACACAGTTGACCACCCCCCTCCTCCTCAAAAAACTCTATTTACCTGGCCTCCGTGACTGAGCGAATCTTACCTATCTCACCGCACCTTCAGTCTCATTTACAACTCTACCTCTTCCTCTCCTACTCCTCTTACTGTTGGGATCCTCTAAGGTTCTGTCCTTGGACCTCTCCTATTCACGATCTACACTCCTTCCCAGGGTCAACTAACCGCTTCCCATGGATTCCAATACCATTTCTATGTTGATGACACACAAATCTATCTCTCTACTCCTCTGCTCACCCCATCAGTTTCCTCACGTATCACCGATTTACTAATGAACATATCAGACTGGATGTGACACTACTTCCTAAAACTCAATCTATCCAAAACTGAGCTCATAATATTTCCTCCCCCACGTGCCTCTTCCCCTGATTTCTCAGTCAGAATCAATAGCACCACTATCAACCCATCCCCCATGCCAGGGTGTTAGGGGTAACCCTGGATTCTGAACTATCCTTTCAGGCCCACATCCAATCCCTGTCAAAAGCATGCTGTCTCAAAATCTCCAGAATACGCCCCTTTTTAACCAATGATACCACAATGCTCCTAATTCACTTCCTGGTTATCTCTCGCCTCGACTACTGCAACTCCCTCATTGGCTTACCTTTACATAGACTAATCCCCCTCCAGTCCATCATGAATGCTGCTGCCAGGCTCATCCACCTTACCAACTCTTTAGTGTCTGCTACCCCTCTCTGCCAATCCCTCTACTGGCTTCCACTCACCCAACCAAAAAATTCATAACAGCTACTTACAAAGCCATCCACAACTCTGCCCCCAGCTACATCACCAACCTGGTCTCAAATTATCAACCAAACTGCTCTGTTTGATCCTCCCAAGAACTTTTGCTCTCTAGTTCCCATGTCACCTCTTCCCATACTCACCTCCAGGACTTCTCTCGAGCTTCTCCCATCCTATGAAACTCCCTACCTCAATCTGTCCGGCTATTTCCTAATCTATCCACCTTTAGACGATCCCTGAAAACCCCTCTCTTTTGAAGAAGCCTATCTTGCTTCTAACTAGTAAACCACCATTTATTTCCTCCATCAACTCATCCCCCCCCCCCCCCAGCTATTACCTTTGTATCACTCAATCCTTCCTCCTGATTGTAAGCTCTAACGAGCCGGGCCCTCTGTTTCCTCTTGTGCCAAATTGTATTGTAGCTGTAATGTCTACCTTCATTTGGTAATTTCAGAAAATATATATGGTTTGGGAGGGTTCTATGTAATTTGTTATCAAAAAATGCTGATTTTAAGCTGTGTGGAGATGGATTAGAGCCCCTGTCAGTTTATATTGTTGTCTGTGCCCCGTTGGGGCGATCCTTCCTCTCTATTTCTCCTGTTTACTGTTATCATTGAAAGTGAAAATAAAAGAACCAGTGTCAGAATGCCCGCCGTAGTCCCACTATAAGTCGCTGATCGCCGCCATTGCTAGTATATAAAAAAAAAAAAAAAATTCCAGTATATATAACGCCATTTGTATAACTTTCACGTAAACCAATTAATTTAGACGTATTTGGATTTTTTTTTAGCAAATACATGGAGCAGAATATATTTTGGCTTAAATTTATGAGGACATTTTATTTTTCATTTTTTTTTTTACTGTATTTGCTTTATAGCAAAAAAGTCAAAAATGTTGGGTGTTTTTTTCAAAATTGTTGGTCTTTTTTTGTTTATAACGCAAAAAATAAAAAAGGCAGAGGTGATCAAATACCACAGAAAGAAAGTTCTATTTGTGGGGGAGAAAATACATAAATGTCATTTATGTACAGCATTGCATGATGACCGCGTAATTGTCAGTTAAACTAATGCAGCACCGTATCGCAAAAATATGGCCTGGTCAAGAAGGGGGGCAAATCCTCTGGAGGGCAAGTGGATTACATTGACTGAATTGTAAACATCTAACACTCTTCCTATCCATTGTTGTTCTTTTGTATGAATAGACATAAAGTTGTTGATGGAAAAAAAAGACTCTGTCATGCTGTGGTTGGCAGGATTCGGCGCAGACAACAGCGGTGCGTGTTTCTCCATCGCCATCTTGCGGAGGGCACCGGGAATAGTATCCGGCGTTGTGTACTGTCGGGCCCGGTTCGGTATGTCCACTCCTCCGCTCTCCGGAGGGGCAATGGCAGGGCCTCCCGGGGGCTTCCCCGGTCCTCCACCCTCCACCGCGCCCCCGGGAGGTTAACACGGCGTCCCTGTGCCGGATCGGACAGGAGACAGTGCAGGACATCGTCTTCCGCACCATGGAGATCTTCCAGCTGCTGCGAAACATGCAGGTGAGCGCTGCGCCACTGCGGGTGCCATTCACTGCTTCCAGCGGGGGACTCCTGGCCTCCTATGGACGGAGATCCTGCCATGAAAGGTCCACTTCCTGGTTTAGGGTGACAACGCTATGCTCCTGGCTCCTCATTTTGTTTCAGCGTTGTCACAGGGGCTTAGAATGAGGACAGCTGTCTGTCTGATTGTGGGGATGGGGGGAATCCACCTTGAGGAATGCTGAGCCGCCATTGCTGGAGTGCATGGAGATGGCTGCAAAGAGGAGGCAGGAGATCAGCTGCGCCGCGCCCCCATTCACACCTAGTGTAGCGGCACGTAGTTTTTTCTTCTGCATTTTTTTTAGCAGACGCACATAGGGCAGCCATGCCTGTGACAGATGCACTAAAGAATTTCCTGCAATGTTTTTTTTCCTTTTTTACATGCATTTGTGGTACGCAACATTTTGCGTTAGCTGGCTTTGTTTGGAGTGGCAGGAACGTGTGCTTGTGCGCGTTTACGTGTGAATGTGGCTCCTCCCCCAAGGTGCTGGCCTCTCCCTCCTCCATGAGCTGTAGTGGGGGATTCCATAGGAGGAACTTGCAGGGCATCCTGCACATAAAAAAAGGGCGGGGATACTGTGATATCATTGGCCAATCAGCTGCAACCAGGACATCCCACACATAACAAAGGGGGGGATGCTTGTGATGGCATTGGCCAATCAGCTGTAACCAGGGCATTTCACATGTAACAAAGGGGTGGGGATGTTTGTGACGGCATTGGCCAATCAGCTGCAACCAGGGGCATCCCATGTTCTTGACTAAATTGGCCAATCAGCATGTAACTCCAGGACCATTCAGCATATGCAACAAAGGGGCAGGAATGTTCTTGACAACATTGGCCAATCATCAGCATCCAGGACATTTCACATGTAACAAAGTGATGGGGATGCTTGTGACAACATTGACCAATCGGCCAACCAGGGCATTCCACATGTAACAAAGGGGGGGAATGCTCATGAGCTACATTGACCAATCAGCTGCAACCAGGACATTCCACATGTAACAAAGGTGCGGGGATGCTGATAGCATCATTGACCAATCAGCTGCAGCCAGGACATTCCACACATAACAAAGGGGTGGGGATGCTTGTGATGGCATCGGCCAATCAGCTGCAACCAGGGCACTTCACATGTAACAAAGGGGCGGGACTGCTCATGTCTTCATTGGCCAATCAGCTGCAACCAGGGCAGTCCATAAATAACAAAGGGGCAGGGATGCTGGTGACTATATTGGCTAATCAGGTCATTCCAAATGTAACAAAGGGGTGGGAATGCTTGTGATGACATTGACCAATCAGCTGCAACCCAGGTGTTCTGCACATAACCGAGGGGTGTGACCAGGGTATTCCACATGTGCCAAGGGGCAGGGATTCTCCTGATATCTTTGACCAATCAGTTGTGACCAGGGAATTCTGCATGTAACAAAGGGGCGGGGATGCTCATTACATCATTGACTAAATACAGCCACATTACATCAATCATGTCCAAGCATCCCTGCCCCTTTGTTACATGGTAACAGCTGATTGGGCGCTGATTTTGTGGGAGTGACATCTTTCTTCTGGGTTTGGTCTGGACCTGTGCTCCTCTCAAGTGACTCAATGTGGACAGGTGATGAGCCCGGGCATCCTCTAAACTCATCTGTAGCTGAACTTATTCCCATGTCGTTCCGCCCAGCCCACATCTCATTGGAGTAAAAAAAAGGTGCGAGTTCCAGTAGAGGTGAAGTTAGAGGGTGCCTGAGCTCATCTCCAGTCTATAATGTGTCAGTAGAGATGATCACCCAATTGTCCGCGACCAGGGCACTCTGCATGCAAACAAGGGGAGGGATGCTTGTGACACCATTGACCAATCATCTGCAACCAGCGTATTCCGCATGTAACAAAGGGGGCAGGGATGCTTGTGACATCATTGACCTAATGTGGCCATAGTTGGTCAATGATGTCACGAGCATCCTGCTCCATTGGTACTTGGGTGAACGTGGTTGATTTGGTGTGAGTGACAGCTCACTTCCCGTTTTCCTCTCTAGTGACACCTTGTAGACTGGAGATGAGCCCGGGTGTCCTCTAAACTCATCTCTACCTCTCTTTTTCTCAAGTCATTTCCATCCATCCACTCCACAACTCATTATAGTAAAAAACAAGAGCAAGTTTGGCAGATGCCCTATTAGGGAATGTCTTGCTTGCGGCTGAGTTGCCAGAAGTGACCAAATCAGCATTTCTAGGCCTGCTGCCCCGGCTGTGCTGTCATGCTTTACAGCAAATGCCAATCAGCAGGTCCCAACCAATGGTTTACGGCTGGGACCTACTGATTGGCCTAGCAAGTGACAGAAGAGAGCCCTGTGTTGGTAAGCAACACAGGACTCTCTACAGACAGCAGTGATGTGCCGTTTTTAATTCCCTTTGCAAAGCATGGAGTAAAAACCAGAACATTGATTAGTAAAAGCACCAAACAGTAAACACAATTGACATTGTTGGGCACATGGTTAACCCTTAAGTGTTAACCCCTTCCCAGCCAGTGTCTTTGGTACAGTGTCAATGTATATTGTTAGCCCTGATCACAGTATTCGTGTCAGTGGCAGTTAGTTAGTTTCCCACAAAGTGCCAGATTGCCTGTCACACTATCACAGTCCTGCTACAAGTCACTGATCACTGCCCTTACTAGTATAAAAAGTAAAAAAGAACTCCAATATATATATCATAGTTTCTAGATGCTATAACTTTCACGCAAACCAGTTAATATACACTTATTGGGAATTTTTTTTTTTTTTTTTTTAACAAAAGACTTAGCAGAATATATTTTGGCCTAAATTTATGAAGAAATTTGATTTTCTTAAAAAAATATTTTTGGGATGTTTTATAGCAGAAAGTGAAAAAAAGTTTTGTTTTGTTTTTTTTTTTTTCTTCAAACTTTTTGGTCTTTTTTCGTTTATCTAATTAAAAAAAAAAAACCCAGAGGTGATCAAATTCCACCAAAATAAAGAAAAGAAATATGTGTGAAAAAAATTATATACGTTTTGTTTTGGTACAGCGTTGCATGGCAGTGCAATTGTCAGGTGAAGTAGCGCAGTGCTGAGTAGCAAAAAAAATGGCTTGGTCATGAAGGGGGTAAAACCTTCCAGAGGTCAAGTGGTTAAGCTGAGCTTCATATATCTTCTATATCCATACTTTTTTTTTATAAACTTAATTTATAATTTTTTTTTTTTTCAGCTGCCAAATGGTGTTACATATCATACAGGGACCTACCAGGACCGACTGGGGAAGTTACAAGAGCATCTGCGACAGCTTTCAATTCTGTTCCGCAAGTTGCGGTTGGTGTACGACAAATGTAATGAGAACTGCGCTGGACTGGACCCGGTTCCAATAGAGGTGAGGGACTGCTGGCACTGTAGGGAGCTCCCTGCTCTCCCACAAACCAATGCAGGCAGCTCAGCAAGAAGTCAAGTAGCGCCTGCATGGGTTCTGGGATGGTGGAGGAGGCAGTGTTTGGAGAAGGTCTATATCTGCATTGTTTTGTTTGCCTTAACCTTGTACTGATGGACTCACATGGTGCTGCTGCAGTTTTGTAGTGTCACGACTTTTTCCATGTATTCATTCACCTAGCTTGTCCCTATCCACTAAAGCAGGGGTCTCCAAACTTTCTAAGCAAAGGGCCAGTTTACTGCCATTCAAGGTTTTGTGGGGGCCGGACAGTGACCAGTTGGGAGTAGAAAATGCCCGGAACATCCGTGCCTCATCATTGGTTTTAATGGTAGAAATAGTTCCCCATATTTGGTATCCATTGGGAAGAATAGTGCTCCATTGATAGTGTCAGTAGTGGGAATAGTGCCCCAAAGGCCAGATGAAGGCACACAAAGGTCCACATTCGGCCCCCAGGCCACAGTTTGGAGACCACTGCCCTAAAGCAACAGACAACTTCTTGATCCAGGTCACACTGGGGTTTATTTACTAAAGCTGGAGAGTCCAAAATCAGACTCCCTTCTGCATAGAAACCAATCAGCTTCTAACCTCAGCTTGTTCAATGAAGCTTTGGCAATGAAACCTGGAAGCTGATTGGTTTCTATGCAGAAGGGAGTCTGATTTTGGAGACTCCAGCTTTAGTAAATAAACCCCACTGTGTCCAATCTGTGCCTCACCCTTTCCTAAATGTGGGAGTGCTAATGTGAAGAAAACAAATCTCTTCCCTCCATTCGTCTGCCTACTTTTGTCTGTGTCAGAACCAATTATTGCACCTGAACCAGTGCTAGACTAAGAGGCCCAGGGATTGTAGGATATGCCGTTCCTTCACTGGAAGTGTCAGTTCTTAGACTACAGACAGACGTCAGGCATTAACCTGTGCAGTGCCATGCAGCATGCCTCATGTTTGAACACAAACAGAAATTGCTGGCAAAGAAATGTGGAGATTTACTTGTTATAGGCTGTGCAAACAGAGCAACAAATGACACCATGAAACTACATCATCAATGCACATTTTGAGCAAGTAGGAAGGGTCATAATGCCTTTAAGTAAGTTTCCAAATAGTATACTTGTCTTTGACTCCTGAATGGCTAGACTTAATATATTGTGTCTGTTGATTTCCAGCAACTGATCCCCTACGTGGAAGATGACTACTGGAAGAATGATGACCGTGGGCCAGCCAGTCAGCTGCGATACGCAAGTGAGGAACGAAGGGAAATCATGGAAGTCAATAAGGTATGGCAACCTTGTGCCTGTGCTACAAATTTCAGCGCTTATGATTGCTTCCTATCTAAAAAAAAAAAATTTTATATATATATATATATATATATATATATATATATATATATATATATATATTATTTCTCTATTAGCCTGTCAGTGGCCCCCACAGATGGCAATGGACAAGCTCTGATCAGAACAACCTGGCATTTGGCTTACAGAGGTGAACTTTCTTATACCATGCGGTTTTGGACTTGTGGGTTAGATACAGGGGCACTGGGACACAGTTCATGGTGTACTATACATAATGCAGGACTGGAGAAGCAGATACTCTGAGCCATGGCTTTTTTGCTGAAAAAAAAATAGGTGCAGGAACTCCCCCCCCCTCTTCTGAGTCACTTCTTGTCTCCACCCCCCCCCCCATTCACCTCCTGAGCACCTTTATTAGTTCCACCCCCTACCCACCTCCCAGTACCACTCCTTTTAGAGAATACAGAGCCAAGTATCATTTTGTGGTGCTAAATAATTTCTATAGAACTTGTTAATGATAACAAGAAAAGCAGAAAAATAGATCCCCTGCAGCCAGCAGCAATAGACTCGCCCAGCAACAATAGATTCCTTCAATAACCATGGACCTCCAAAACAAAATACCCCTAGCAACAATAGACCCCCGACAACTACAACAGATTTCCCAGCAGCCACATCGATATACTGTCCAGCAGCCAGCGACAAGAGACCCCTCCCTCAACAGTTGATCACTTCCAGCTACAATTGACCCCATCAACAACAGATCCCCCACCAGCAACTATAGACCATCACACAAAAGTAGATCCCTTTAGTGACAATAGATCCATCCAGCAGCCAGCAACAACGGATCCTACAGCACACCCTAGTACCCCTTGCTATTACATACTTTTGGAGCTGGAGGTGCCGAACTGCATTCCCACTGAAAAAAAGCTCTGCTCTGAACACACCATAAGGTGTCGGTGCAACAACGTGCCTTACTATTCAGGGTTCCAGAAATAAAAGGCTGTGATCTTCTGTCTGTTCTCTCTCCCCACCCTTGGGTATGCCATAAATGAGATGGCTGTGTTCAGTGGTTACTGCTAAGGTGATGGAGTTACATCCTTTGGCAACAAATAGGGTAACGTACATCAGCTTGAGTGTTGGGTCTCTCCTTTGTTCCCCTGCGCTCGCCCCTGGTGGGGTTTCATGGTGTTTTGAATGGAGCACAGATTACAAGCACAAGAAAATTTCCTATACTGCGCTCCTGAAGAAGCAGAATTTTTTTACCCGAGATGCACGTTGAGGCAAACCTCCATTCCACCACCGAATTAGTACACCTCACAAATGTAACATATTGTAATGTAATGAGACCATAAACTTGATTACGGGTATTTAGATGGCACAGTGTATAATATTGGGGTTTGGGAGGAGATGTAAACATTACTGTGCAAGTGTAAATTTTTAAATGTTTTAATTTCATTTTAATAAAATGCATTTTTGATGTTGTATGGCATGATATATAGGTGCCCTAAAAGTCCATTGTGTTTGATTATTTTGACTGTTTTTCAAAGAATTGAATGTGATACCCTTAAAAGGAAGGTCCACTCCTATTAATTGTTTATACATGCCATCAACTTTTTTTTTTTTTTTTTTTTTCTTTTTTTTAAGGTCCATTTTACATAATTGCTGTGCTTTAAAGCAGTGTTTCTCAACCTTTTTTCAGTCAAGTCACCCTTTAAAATTATGACAGTCCTTGAGGCACCCCATTCTAAAATGTGAAAAACGTTTCTAATAGTTTTATGTAACGCAGCAACATACACACATATAGCACACCCAACATTAGAGAGGATTTATTTTTCCAAAGCAAATAAACTTTTGCACACTGGTACTGTCTAGTATTCCAATGTTTCTCTTCTCCCTCAGTTTTTTCTCCATCACTGAGCTGATGTGACCCCAGCACTGATGGAGAGGGGAGGGGAGGGGCAAACTAGGATGCTGTGCAGGCAGCTAACATCCTCTTTATCAACTGAGGATGTCATTGGTTGTCAGGATGCCGGTGGCTAGAGGGTCGTAATGGTGCACAATGACAACCTGTGACTTTGTATAAATAAAAGGCAGGCTTGTTCCACCTGCTGGCTTGTATACATTTTCTGGGAAATTTGTAGACATTTTGCTAAGGCACCACTGAAGAAACCTCAAAGCACCCAGGGTGGTTGCACCCTGGTTGAAAGGCTGCTTTAAAGAGCATTATGTCACAGATCGCAGAAAGGTAATATTAAAGGATAAGTTCACCTTTTTCCAACATATTACATGTATTCAGGGTGTAATATTTTACCTGCTGCCGCTGCTGCTGTGACAGCAGACCAGGGATCTTCTCGCCATGTCGGCTGCTACAATTCAAAAAAGATGCGACTCTGTCTGCCTGGCTTCGTCACTCATTCACAGTATTCTATGAATGGGAAACTAGAACAACGACAGCCTTTGTGGTTCATTGAGGCTTCCTGTCAGTATGTAACTGGCTGCTTGTACAAGGTGTTGCCAGAAAGCTTACACACAGTCTGCAAGAGCCCTGCATAGCACCCACGATCAGCAGATGCTTTAGAGGCTCCCAGTAAAAAAAAAAAAATAATAATTGCACATTTACCTGCAAAAAGATGCATATGTATGTATGCATTTATTTATTTATTTTTTAAAAGCTGAACTTATCCTTTAAAATGTTGCAAGGTTTCCTCTGATCTCACAAAGTTTTTATTGCAACTGTGGTGGCTGGTGTGTGTTGCGGTACAGACAGTGCTGATGAGCTGATTCTGAGGCATCACACTGTTCACTTTTTTTTTTTTTTTTTTTTTTTTTTTTATTCACTTTATTGAAATTTCACAGTGACAGTTTGTAAAGTTCTATCGGTCAGCATGCAGTGAGTGTGCTGCGCTTGGAAAAAAGTGCTGCATGCGGTCCTTTTTTTTTTTTTTTTTTTCTCTTTTTTGTTTGTTTTTTTGTTTTTTTCCCTTTCAGCGCACACAGCCCAGATGCCACCATAATGTAGTGGTATGATCTGGCCTCACCAGAAACAAGGCATTTTGCCTTGTCTTACAGTGGAGGTGCGGTGGGACTGTGCTGGAATAGCCACTCATCGCAGTCCCACCACACCTGGTCTGAAGAGACCCTTAGCCCTGGTTCACATCTGTGTGGGCCGCGATTTGCGTGGGCATGAGAGCCCATTCATTTGAATGGACTCCCGTGGCCAGGGACATGCAGGGAAGAACTCCCTGCACTACTTTGGAAATCGTAGCCCGCACCGGAACAGAGGTTCCCGAGGCTTTTTCCAGTATGGTTGCAATTTCCAGTGTGGCGGCGGCGTGCCATTAGAATTAATGGCTCCTGCCTTCCTCTGTGTGGGTGGTGCGGCTGCAGGCATTTGTGCGGGTCCCGGAGCAGTACCACCCGCACAGATGTGAACCGAGGCTAAGAGCTGATTCACGCATGTGCGATGCAGATTGAAGATCAGGTTTCACAGCTATTTGATACAGTACAAATTGGGGCGTGGAAGTGGGACTTTAATGATACCTTTTATATCCAAGAAACATTTTATGCATTGGACGCATTTTATATCCAAGAAATGTTTGTTCCTAGAGATGGTTATTTTTATATGTCAATTTAACCTCCTCGGCGGTATGATTCTTTCCGATTTTTTTTTTTTTTTGTGCTGAAAGCGGTACCATTTTTTTGCATGGAAATATGTAGTTTTTTATTGTAGGCTGTAATTTTTAGGAATAACTCACTGAAATCTGTACGAACAAGAGTCTAGTAAACATCCCGGGTATGATAAAACTTGAAACACAAAATCATAAATTATAATTTAATAAATAATCATAAAAAATAATAATAATAAATTTAATTCAATAATATAATCAAACCAAAAACACTGAAATTTGAAATACAGAGGCAAATTCGCACATCGCTGAGCAAAGTTGCAAAATCGTTTTCAGTGTCTGATGACGAATTTCCCCACGAATCATTATCACTCAATTCTGCAAGTGGTTCTGATTTACTATCGCTGTTCTCTAGCTGGTCTAAAACCGCTTTTGACGTAAAGGGACGCTTTTTGGACGCCATGGAGTTTTCTAAGTTTCCAGGCAGAAAGAACAGTAAAAATGCAGGCAGAGCACAGAACAAAGCAGTAGGAACAAAATATATGTGAAATGCATTGAAACAGCAATGACAGCAAAAATGAAATTTTTTAAAAATTTCAAATTTGCCGCCGGTTCCGGCGCCCGTACGTCCCGACGTCACAGGGACCGGATGCCGGCATTGGCCGGAGGAGATGGCCGGGGACGCTGCAGGGGACACATCGCGGGAGCGAAGGACAAGGTAAGTGCTGCAGGGACTCCCTGAGCAACGCCGCATGGTAAGCCCGAGTTTAGCTCGGGGTTACCGCTCTTGGTACTCAAATTTTACCCCGAGCTACACTCGGGAATACCGCTAAGGAGGTTAATAAACTAATGTAATTTTGTGTCTGTGGGTATAACATATAGGTCCACTTGTGAACCCCTGTGGTATAATTAAAGTCCCACTTCCACACCCCAATGTGTACATTTGTAATCAGGATGATACCTCAGGGAGTCATATTTTCATTTAATCATTTACACCACACCTATCATACATTTATGGTAATTGATTCAGTTGTTGTTCACGCCAGATTTACATCAGGTTCAGAACAGGATTAGCTCAGGATTTTATTTTGCTCACACATACAGTATGCGGTTTAGAAACGGTTCCCATAGAAGTCCATAGCCTGTAATCCGCACCTGAAATGGACTGCACTGCTCAGAAATCGGACATGACTCTTTTTAAAACTGCACTGAATCTGCACCGCCAGTGCATCAGACAGATGTGAACAGGCACCATAGGAAGCAATGTTTATTCACATGTCATGCGGATTGTATGCGGTTCAAACCACATCCAATCCACATACAGATGCAATAACTGAAATGTTGTGAGATTGTACATGCTTAATCTCCATGTACACGGGATGTTTGGAAAACACTTCTGAATGATGGAAACTGACTGCTGGAAAACGTAGGTTAAAAGATGTCTTTTTAGCTGCATTTGCATACCGCGTTTATGACCATTTGCGTTTAGAAGTGTTTTTTAAAGATAACCTCAGGAGACCTTCCAAAATACCAAGAATGCACTGAAAAAAAGTAACAAATGAACTATTGATGTTGAGATTTGCGGTCTATTTTTTTTTTTTTGTGGTGTTTATATGTGTTCCAGCTCATTTCTGTGCAGAAATTCTTGCAGCAGTGTCTAACAAATTTTCTTTCATGCGAAACCTCAAAGTGTGGTGTACCAGGTCCATTTGCGTACCGGGAAAACGCTTTGCATGCATTTTTCATGATGAAAAAAAGGCTCTGCACAGCATCTGGAAGTGGGAGAGTTAAACAAATTGTTTAAATGCGGTTAGCCGCGTTAACAAGCGTTCGGCGTTTGAAGTGCTGATAAAATCTACTCATGAACGCAAGTTTGGTGCGTTCAAAAAAACAAACTAAATTCAACTGCCTATGAATGACTGTAAATAACATGGTGTACATGGACACATAGGAAAACATTAGGGAGAGTTCAGGGGCTGCTGAAAAAAAATGCAGAAAAGCTCCTAAATGTGAGTTTATCAGCTGCAGTGTACATTGAGCCTAGTATGTACATTTCTCTGTATGTCCAGTCAAAATCTTCCATGTTAGTGCTTAAAGTACACTTTAAAGTCACTCAGCCCCCCACGCTTTTATGGTGGTACTTCTGTTTTTGTTTTTAATTATTATCATGCATTAAAGTGAAATTCCAGGTTAGAACTAAGCTCCTAAATCTGCTCCCACCCTCCTATCACCTATAATTCCTACCCAGTAGAAGGAAGCTGCCGACATCAGATGCCCCATAGTAAGTCTATGGGTGTCTTCACCGCCTGGGCATTCCAGTTGTTGGCGCTTTCTCCTCTCCCCTAAAGCTGGCCAATGGAGAGATAATGTGACCGGACTGGAGCACTCTGAGAATAGGTAAGTATAAGCATCTTCCTTCTTCTGGGTAGTTGGTATAGGTGTTAGAAGGTTGGTGAGAGAAGTTTTAAGCTTAGGTAGTTCTAGGCTTGAATATCACTTTAGGTTCTTCTAGACTAGTGATTGACTCCATGTTTTTTTCTCTTTCTTGCAGAAATTAAAACAAAAGAATCAACAGTTGAAGCAAATCATGGATCAGTTACGGAATCTTATCTGGGATATAAATGCAATGCTTGCAATGAGAAACTAATCTTATCGTGATTATATATTTTTGTTACTTTTTTTTTTTCATTTTGTGTAATAAATACTGTTCATATGAGTTGTGGTTGGAGTAATGTGTTGTAAAATAGTGTGTATATTTTATACCTGATTAAAAAAAGTAACATTTCCTGGGAATGATCTACAGTCAATGTCTTTTTAATTCCCAAGGCCGCTGTTGGCTTTCTTAGATGACAGATATGGTTTGAGCCTTTTTTTTTCTCCTTTTTCACAGTCCACTTGTGTAAAAGGGATTTTTATAGTTACCTTTTAGATTGTTAACCTCCAAGATTCTGGTTGTCCTATTGTCTCTCACTGTAAGCCCATGTCCCTAGCTTGGATCATGTTTAGGTTGTTGGTGTGCTATTAGATTGAGCCACAGTTTTCCTGGAAACGCATAGCTCTTTCATCTGCCTCCTACCTCTCAGTTGCTTGGGCATCTGCTGGGATGTATGCTTGCCATGGTGATTATGTTTCTTTCATGTGATCTTTCACAGACCTAAAAGTAACCAATGTGTTGCCGAGAAGTTACTTTGTGAACCAAAAGGCTAAGCCATCACCACTATATAAAATAGTGGTGGTGAACTGGAAAATTATAGTGGGTTTCAAGTGTGGCCCCAAGCACCTCCAGAAGGCAACGCAATAGCAGCATATTTCTGCACCTGAACACCCAAAAAGTTTGGTCCTGCTGCATTTTTTGCGTATCGCAATGTATACTGAATTTGTCCGGAGTACAATAACTCCCAGCATTGTTGTCAGCATATCCAATACTAAACCCCAGCTCTGGTGTCAATGGACTCAATAATACCCCCCCCCCCCACATTGATGTCAGTGGATGCAATATTAACATTGGTATCAGTGTGCATAATAGCCCCCAGCACTGGTGTCAGTGAGAGCAATAATAGAGAGCAGTGAGAGCAATAATAGCCCCCAGCACTGGTGTCAGTTCTAGTAACCACCAGGGTGGATTTGATTTAAATCAAACTGATTTATATCACGATTTAAATCACTAGTCAGTAAGGCTTGATTTAAATCCTAGTTTTCTACATAAAGACTAATTCTTGCTGGTATAACTTTAATATGCAAGTAGATGAAGATTTTTAGAATAACTTTTCATATTAGTTTTTTTTTATCCCCAGTTTAATAGGTTAATCATTCATATTTGGACAACTTTTCTGTTGTACTTAGGAAGGAGAAAAATAATCATTACCTTAATAATAACAATTTAAATAGATTTATTCAACTGAAACAATAAGTTTCCAGCATATGTTATTTGCTTAAACATCCATGTTTGTTAACTAATTCGGCTAAACAAAATATATATATTTTAAGAAACTTAGACTGTCAGCCCCTTCCTCCTCACACTTAGTTTCACTTTCTTCTTGTGCAGATCTATTCCACTCCAAACAATCAGAAAAATATTGTTTCTATTCTTTTCACTGAACTTCTTGAAACTTAGCGCTGAAGGGGTTGATTCTGTATTCATAGGTTTGTAGAAGTTAGGATTGAGGTCTTTTTCTTAACTCTGTTCATGTTATAACATTTTTGCTGTGAAGAAGAGGCATGTGATCTCCGCTCAGTCAAATTCAGTTTTGAGAACTGCAAAAGTAAACCGAGCATCTGTAATAATATCTTGTAGGCAGAGAAACTGCCCAATAATCTTACAAAACCTCTGGAAGAGCATGACATTGTGAATGGATTCATGGAATTTATTTACCAAAAAAATTAAACCTATACAGCCTTATTCTACATAATTAAAAAACTAACCTTTATTTCATGATGGAATAACCTTTGGATGGTAATATATTTTCCTCAAAAAGCATTTTATTTAAAAAAAAAAAACCGATTTAAATCAAACAAATCCAATTTAAATAAAAAAAATCTTTTTTTTTTTTGATTTTTTAAAAAAAAAAATCATTGATTTTTATCCACCCTGGTAACCACCCTCTCCCAACATTGTTGGTCACTGATAGAGAAATGTGACCCCCCCCCCCCCCCCTTTGCATTGGTTGTCGGTGGCAGTGAACGCCTGCATCCTCCTCCTGCATTGGTGGTCATGACAGTTAATTTCTCCCCCACAGCAGTCAGTGGCAGTTAACCCCTCATAAGCCCCCCTGCATTTGTGGCAGCTGGCTGTGAAATTTAACCCACATTCCCCTGCATTGGTGTTTATGGCAGTGAAATGTAACCCCTCCATCCACCCCCAAACACACACACATTGTGTGGTTGTGACATTTAACCATCCCCTATCCTCCCTAGCCAGGCACTGGTGGTCATGGCAGTGAAAGTTAACCCCCATCCCCCCCCCCACTTACCAATCATACACTCCTGCACAGCTCTCTCTCTTCCCAAGCCAGGACTTTTCTTACGTTGTGGGCTGAGATGCCCATAATACAGCCTCTCTTTCATTGCTGGAACACAGAGCACATGTCAGATCTTGGCACTCCACTTCCTCTCTGCTTTCTTTATGGTGACCAACAGCCCATGGGCCGCACACAGGGGGTTGGCAAGCCACTTGTTTGGCACCAGGGATATAAAAGATATGTAAGGACATACTTACAAGTTGACTAGATATCCACAATTCAAACAAAAAACTAAAACCTTGTTGCTACAGCAACTGAAATTTATAAACTAAAGCCAATCCTTTATTAAAGTAGACCTGAACTCAAAAAGTGAAGCTTTTCTATGTTATAGGGAACCTCTAGAAATTCTGATCTTTACCTCAAAGCAGTACCTGAAAAACATACCTTTTGTATGGAATTCCTCATATGTAAGTGCGCTTAGGAACTTCTAAACCTCATAGCTGTATATCTACAATATGAGAATCATTGTTGGTCTCGTCGGATTTGATTATTGTGCTGCTTGCTGGAGAGGAAGCTGTACCGCATGAATCTCCATGCTTCTGCTTTTTATTCTGTGGATCCTCCACCTCTTCTGCCACTTCTTGAGTGATCAGGCACCAGTCATTGGTGACCTGAAAAAGCAAAGGTCTGCCTCTACCAATGTGGCTACCCACACACTGACACAGTGCAGAACTAGCCAAGGCAAGTCCATAATGGGGAAAATAGCTGCTGGGAAAACAAAGGCAATACTGGTGAATTGCCCTTTGACCTCTACTTGCCTTTTTTGGGCACAGCTTTTACAGCTCAGGTCCTCTTTAGTCAATATTGTCCTCTACTGAAATCTTTGTGCCTATCAATCATTCATCTCATTGTCCGCTAGAGTTATGCTTTCACTAATGCAGGGAAGAGATGGAGGTTATATAAAGGCATTACAACATAAAGAGGAAAGTGTGCACACATGAATGCATTAAAGCGGTTGTAAACCCTCACATATATCCAGTGAACTGGCCTCAGGTGATACACACTAATGAAACAAATCCTCCTACGTAAGTTGTACCTGTTTATCTACACCCTATTTTAGCTACATTCTTTCGAAGTGCAGAATTTACACAGGATCTTTTAGCTCTGCAAAGCAGGGGGCAGAGAGCTGAAGTTACATCAGGTCTGATAACTGATTAGAAGGAAGGGGCACAGCCCCTTTCACACAGCACACAGGAACAGAACTGAGGCTGTCAATGTGCTGGAGGTCCCTCCCCTGTCACCATTTTTCTCTTTGTCAGGAAAAGTCATCAGAAGTGACTCATGCATATAGCAAAGGAATGAAGCAGCAGACAGAAATGGCACTTGGCACCATGGATTGAGACAAGCACACACCAGCGAATCTAGGGGGGTGCTGGTGTGGGCGGTCCCCCCCCCCCAAGATTTTAGCTGTGCCCCCCCCCAGGTCTCTGAAAATGCATCCACTAATCCATGAGCCAGTCTGATGCAGACATTTGATGTAAGGAGGCATTCTGATGGTAACAATCCATGTAAGGGGCACACTGATGGGGACACCTGATAAAAGGGCGCGCTCTGATTGGGATGATCATATGTAAAGGGCCACTATGTTGGGGACAATTGATGTAAAAGGGCACTCTGATAGGACACCTGATGTAAGAGGGCACTCTGATGGGACACCTGATGTAAGTGGGCACTCTGATGGGAGACACCTAATGTAAGGGGGCACTCTGATGGGACACCTCATGTAAAGGGCCACTCTGATGGGGACCCTGATGTAAGGGGGGCGCTCTGATAAATGCACTCTGATGGGGACATCTGATGTAAGGGGTCACTTTGATGGAGACACCTGATTTAATGGGGTACTCTGTTGGGGACACCTGATGTAAGGGGGCACTCTGATGGGGACCCTGATGTAACGGGGCACTCTGCTGAGGAAAATTGATTTAAGGGGGAACTGTGATAGATGCACTCTGATGGGGACACCTGATGTAAGGGGACAAGCAGATGGGAACCCAATGTAAATGGGGACTCTGATGAGGACCCCTGATTTAAAAGGGGATTCTGATAGGTACATCTGATATAAGGACAGGTCCTGTGTCATCCTAATACATAACAGTGTTTCCCAGGTCGTGACACTCTGTGACAAACTCTCAGTGACTCACACACGGTGTTGGCATTATGCCCCCTGACTTTTTTTTCTACTGCACCCCCAGACCAGATAGGCTAGATCCGGCCCTGGCACACACTATACAGTGAAGGCAATAAGTATTTGATCCCTTGCTGATTTTGAATGTTTGCCCACTAACAAAGAAATGATCAGTCTACAAATCAAATGGTAGGTGTATTGTAACACTGAGAGACAGAATAGCAACAAAAAATTCTAAAGAAATGCACGTCTAACAAATTATGCACTGATTTGCATGTTCATGAGGGAAATAAGTATTTGATCCCCTTCACAAAACATGACTTAGTACTTGGTGGCAAATCCCTTTTTGGCAATCACAGAGGTCAGATGTTTCCTGTAGTTGGCCACCAGGTTAGCACACATCTCAGGAGGGATTTTGGCCCACTCCTCTTGGCAGATCCTCTCCAAGTCATTAGGGTTTGGTGGCTGATGTTTGGCAACTTGAACTTTAAGCTCCCCCCACAG